TCTGTTGCTGGATGTATTGTATATCATACCTTTTCTCATCCCCTTTTTTATCCCTGCAGTAACCCTGGGTGGTACCTTCAGCAACACGGAGTGTGTAACTGATGGAAAGACATCTGTGAGTTTCCATGGTCAAAAATGGATTTGAATTTGATCCTTCTCAGTTTTACTCCAACACCTTAACCACCCCACCACGTTAGATGATGTATATCTACATAAGCTGTTAAGAAAACCAGATAAATAGAAACCTTTGAGGACCCCCAGTCCCACTTAAGCACTGAAGACCTTTTTAATATGATGACAATGCCGAAAAGATGGCAAAAACGGATTGTAATATCTTGAGGCCAAATAGGAACTGTACAAGAACCCGTTTGCAAGAAGTGTACTAGGGACAGCCAGCATCTTTCTGAAAGAATTAAAGAGTGGCATTGAAAGGAGAAAATATACCTTTATGAAGTGATGCATAGAATGGAACAAGATGCAAGAACGGAGCGTAACAATAGAAGGATCAAGCTCAATTCTGGAAGAACTGATTTTTCACACAGTGAGAAGTTCCTCACGAAAGAAAATAAACCATTGGCCAACATGGATAACCATACGGCAGTGGTTTCCAAATTCTGTAATGCAGAACTGTTTCTTCCCTATGTAAAATGGCTTACAAAGGCTTATAAAGTCCAGAATACCAGCTATGGAAGAGGCAGTCTATCAGTGTATCATTAATCAGTCTGGTTGATACAATAATGGGTGCTTCACTGAATGGTTTATGACTGATAGAAGGGAATATTAGTATTAAACTGTGGAATCCTTGGTGCTCTATGAGCTTGGTGGTTTTCTTGCAGATGCTTCATTATCAATCTAGGTAACATCACCAGTGCTGGTAAAGAATGGAGTTTACTCTACAACTGAGGATGTTACTTAGTTTGGATAACTAAATGTCTGCAAGAAAACACCCAAGCTCAGAGGGCATCAATGACCCCACGTGGTATATGACTGAATTCCAAAGCATAATCCAATGAGCTTTGGATTACGTAGGTTATATTTATTGATACGTACTGTATTAGAAACTAAAAGTGAGAAATGTTAAAGTATTTGTCTATATGACTTCCACAGACCCTACTTTGAGAACCACTGTGATAGGCAAAACCATACCGTAAACGAGAATGCATCTATCCTCAAAAGAGCCAAGTGCCACATTGAGGTTAAACTGCTTGAAGTCAGGCAGCCTCCACCCTGGCGACCTTCTAGAAGAAGTTAAAGCTGTGAGGTCTTCCAGAAGGTGCTTGGGCCATCACGACAGGGGTGAAATAACAAATAAATGAAAAAAATAAAGGCGCTATAATCAACTACCGCAGAGTGTTCAAGAGAATTAGCTTCAAAAATATTGTCAACCATGTCTTAGATATGAACAAGAAGACTATTAAACTCCACGCCTCTGAGATTTTATAAAGGTTTACTGCAATTTACTTTAGCGATTCCCTCCTGCTTCCTTGGGGTGTTAATGGATAAGGGTAATTTGCAGAAAATATTTCATGAGGATTTGTTAAAGGTTAATGTGTTTTTTTCCCCCCCCTTCAATTTCACAGCGTTGGCAAGGACTCCTGTAGAACAGGGACAGGGGAAATTCATGCTGTGAAAACCATTTATTGACAATTAAAAGAAAAACAGGGCAAACGAGCGACTGCCACATGCAAGTCGGATATTTGTTGCCTAATACTCTGTGCGTACTTTGGATGAATTGGTTGGGTGGCAAGGTGAGTTTTCCAATGACATTTCAATCATACAGATTTACTTGTTAACTTTTATTTGTTTATTATTTCTTTATTTATGTCCCACCTTTATTATTTGTACAAATAACTCAAGGCGGTGGACACATCCAACGCACTTGGATAAACCTGAACACAGTACATTTAAAAAATAACGTTTGAAAGAGATACTGGAAATGTTTCTTGAGAAATGGAAGTAAAAAAGAAGGATTAAATTTTTGAAAATTTTATATTGGGAGATTGGACCTATTTCCAAGGTCAGAGGTTTTTGCAAGGCCCAAGGTTTTTAATTTCAGAAATCCTTCTCAACACCCTTAATTGCAAAATATCAAATGACTTTTAAATCCAAGGGCTAATTGATTAAACTTCCCAACCTAAGCTTAAATGGTGTTATTTTCCAAATTCAAACAAAGGTTTGCAAGTTTCTGAATCTCTTTATTTATTCCATGATTATAAAGATAGTTATAAAGGTTTCTTATGCATAGGTGAACATATTGTGATTATTTAAGACAGTCAGCTTCAGCAAAATGGGTGTAACTTACACACAGAGAATTAAGAAAAAGGCGGTTTTGATTTCTTCAAACTCTAAATCTTCATTATATCCCGGTATAGGTTAGTTTGGTACCTTTGAAACAATGTCATTCTTTCTCTCCCCAGGCACATTTTTCAAAAACTTTGGTGAAATTAGAAGCACCAGGATTTTGTTGTTGCTGTTATGGTTATAATATCCTAAATCCAATTAGCCAGACCAACCCAGTTCACAAACCATTCAATATGACTAAAGCAAAGTTTCCACCATATGGAAGACTGGTCTATTATGAATTCACAATAGACCATTTGTTGCTAGCTTTTCATTCAAGAGTCACAAAAGTACAGTTCGCTCTAAAGCCCTACCGACTTGCTATTATTTTTTGTAATTTAATCATTTCCCCCCCCTTTTTTTAAAAAAAATGGATGAGAGGCATCATTCAGCATGGACTGTCCACTCAGCTTCCACTTGTGGCTTAGCATGAAAAAAAAAGAGCTAAGAGTTTGTTCACACTCCCACTGTCAGATAACAGAAGCTTTTTTCCCTAGCTTAAATAAGGCAAAAAACCCATATAACCAGGTAACAAAAAATTTCTGTCTCTTTCAATTTCTAGGTACTCCCATGTTCCCCAACCCAGTTCTCTTCTCCATCTACAAGCTGAATGAAAAACTATGTTAAGTACTCTGGATTCTACCTGCAGGCATATATATCAACTATATATACCTAGAATTAAGGAGAAACTTCCTGATAATGAGGACAATTAACCCGCGGAACATCTTGCCTCCAGAAATCATGAGCGCTCCATCACTGGAGATTTTTAAGAAGAGGCTAGACAGTCACTTGTCTAATATGGTATAGGTTCTCCTGCTTAAGCAGGGGGCTGGACTAGAAAACTTCCAAGGTCCCTTCCAGCTCTATTCTATTCTATTCTATTCTATTCTATTCTATTCTATTCTATTCTATTCTATTCTATTCTATTCCATTCCATTCTATTCCATTCTATTCCATTCTAATTCTATTCTTCTATTGAGTAGATACTCTGTCCATGAGCCTCACCCAGCCAGGAACTGATAGGCCAATGCCTCTAAATGCAACTACAATGGAGAAGGATAGATTTTAGCCCCCTAACGTTTCTAGGATATAATTCTGGAGGCATTATTTTCCTTCCATTTCTACATTTTGATGTTGACTGTAGCGCTGAGTCTAAGGTAAGCGCTCACCCAATTTCATTTACATCTGGGTGTGCACAATCTGGCTATAGGTTCACAGGCACAGAGATCATTGAAATGTTCTGTATTGACATCACAGGGAATTTGTACGCCATAACCTGGTTTGCGTGACTGAGTGCGCTATGCGCATTATCCAATGTGGGCTGAATTACAAGCCCACGGTTTAGCATGATTTGTGGTCCCAATCATACTTTCTCAGCCCATTTAAATCATGTTTGCCCTGGCTACTTTTAACAGGAAGATCCACTGCTTCTGTTTCTGTAACTCAGCTAGAAATGTGCACAGGTTAAGGGTTTGCATATAGCCACATGCTGCCGTGGCATTATGAGTTATAGTCCATGGTGTCCAAAGAGATCAGATTCCCTAACTATATTCGAGCAGGAAAAATATATCTGGAATCTTATTTCTGTTGCAGCTGAAACTTGTTTATCTAAAAGGCCAGATTCATATAGATGGCATTAAATTACCTTTCCCAACAGACCCAATGAGTTGGCTAATGACAATGAATGATGATAACTGCAATCCAAGCATGTAACACCAGTTCCAGATTTATAGGCTGAAAATGGACATCGGCTTCCATTTGTATTTTTAAACAAGCCTCATTCCTTGATTTTTTTCCCCCTATAAAACTAGGAAGGTGGTTCATGTTTTTATTTGCATAGGCACATAAAAAGGATTGGGAGTGAGGTAGGGAAGTACCTTTAAGATCAGCTCTTAATGTTGCGATATATGGACTGGGTTAAATAAAGTTAACCCTGTTTTGTTCCTTGGGATGGATGACTGCTGAGGTTGTCCTTGTTTCGTATTGGCATAACTGGAATGGCAGAGCTGAACCTTTCAACTGCTTTTTGCAGATTTTGTAGAGTTATTTTTCCATTTTTTTAAAAAAAACACCCCACAAGAATGGTGGTGGTGGTGTGCAACAATATACTGTCGTATGTGAATTATCTCTAACTTTCTTTTCTTCATACCATTTCCTAGGCATCTTTTGGCTGTGTGTGTTCCTAGCCCTTTATTTCCTAGTACTGATAAAAGAGAATATTGTAGAACTGTGGGATCCTTGGTGCGCTCTGTATTCTTATGGATCTTTCTTTACCAAACTAGGTTTACATCACTACGTAAAGTAGCCTGAGCTATTTCTGATCGCTCCCTATTTTATCCAGGATCCCCAGGGTATCTCACTCAACTTTTGATCAAGAGAATTTGATGAAATCGCCGACAAGGCATTATTCACTGTGATGGAAACCTGTAACAATACCATCCTACTAAAACGTTCAGGATGCACTTCCCCAATGCCGATATAAGAGGAATTGGCTCATTTCTAATGGTCCTAGGCCACATGACCTAGATGAGTGTAGGTCCAGTGACAGAATACCATAGCAATTTGGGGCTCACAGAAGACTTTGTATCGCATTTACACATTCAATTCCTGACCGTTAGACATGAGCAGTACCTCTTTAAAATGGCTGAGTGGCCTTCTTTTGCAATTAATACTTATGACGCTATTCTAAGTCAAGGAACACTCAGATAACAGTATTCAGAGCTATTTTAAAATCAGTGCATTAACAGGCTTAAAATAAGACCCCAAATCTATCCATGATGACACGTGAAGAAATACAGTTGTTTCTGTTTTGCCAAGAAGATTCAAATCTAGACATCTTTCGACCCTCCAATTCCTCCCCTTCCCACATTTAATAAGCCACTGTAGATAAAGGTTCACCAATCTAGGCTGAAAGCCCAAAGGTTTGCTACTACGTGTGAACCGATCGTGTTTTAAAAACCCACACACTGGAAGCTGAATAAATATAAATTGCATATATTGTGCTTTCATAAATATTTTTTTCTAGAGGAGCGTTCTAAAGCAAGATAAGAGTCAAGAGAGCAACGTCTTTGGGAGTTATCAGCAAGCTTCTTGTCCCAACTGGATTCAATAGCTATTCCTATACCTAAGACAAGAGAAGGTCCTTCACTCCATCCAGCAGCAGCTTCTCAGATACCCCACTGAGAAAAACATGCCGTGGAAGGAACGTCATTTCCCCCATGGAGCACCAAGAGTCTTCAGCCGGGCAACCTATCTGACGCTCTGAGACATGTGCAGCGGTGTCAACATCTCTTCAAAGATGGCTCCTTTCACATTCGACCCTCTCAAGTTGGCCTCTTGTAGATCACAGCCTGACAGGTCACAGTTCTGAAACCAACGAGGAGGTGGTCAGCAGAGGTGTAGATATTGGATGACTCACCTACAAAGCCGCATGGCTGTTAAAGTTGAAGGAAATGCCCAACGATCCCCCTGGTTTAAACCCTTTGGGGTCCATCAAAAATTGGAAGATGAAGCTCTCACCTCCAAATCGGTCCCTGCCAAGGTTGCTCCTCTCAAGTTGCAGTTTTTCAATTTTGCGTTCTTTAGAGTGGCAACTCGGAGATTGATGCCCGTCATCTGACTTCCTTCCAGATCCACACCTTTCAGGTTAGCACCTGTGGTCACAAAATTCAAGCCCATCAAAAAAAAAAAAAAGAGAGAGGTAGAACTTCCTTTCATTCTCACTATGCCATTATAGCATCCTATTACAACAGGGGTCTTCAAACTTGGCAACTTTAAGACTTGTGGACTTCAACTGCCAGAATTCCTCAGCCAGCCAGGGCTGTCTGAGGAATTCTGGGAGTTGAAGTTCACAAGTCTTAAAGCTGCCAAGTTTGAAGACCCCTGTATTACAAGATATAGCAAAAGATGCTAACTTTTATGTCGGTTGAAGCATTGGAAATATTATACACGAACTAAATTATGTCATGTTCTTCCTTTCCCAGTAAACACCAACAATAATAAAAAAAAAACTTAGAACAGCACAGTTCCTTAACAAAGGTATCTAACTATAAAAGTTTGCCATGTTTTATCTTTCTGTTTAATTTATTTTATTGTAATTTCTTTACTTAATTTTGTGAGCCATCCAGAGTCATTGAGAGCCAGATGGCTTTAATAAATTATTAAAGTCAGTTGGATAGTCAGCCAGATGTTTAGATAGGATTTTGCATTTTTATTCACTTATCAAATCCTTCCCAAGAGCTGGGAAAGGCAGATATTGTTAGTATTATTATTGTTCGTTGCACAGATAGATGATCAGACCGAATTTGGCATTTTTTGCCTGCCTATCAAGTCCTTCCCAAGGACCTGGGAGAGGCATATGTGGATATTTGATGGTGTTACAGATATCATCAGAGGATGTAAGCTGTTTTGAGTAAGCTGCCTTTTGCAATTGACTGATGGTGAATTTGTCAATGTCAAAGGTGTTCAAATGGTGCTACAGTTGGTTTGGGATTGTACCCAAGACTCCTATGACTACTGGCACTATCTTTGCTTTCTTTTGCCACAGTCATTCTATTTCTATTTGCAGGTCTTTGTATTTGGTTATCTGCTCTCCTATTCTGCAGTTTCCAGGTACTGCCTTATTATTAAGCTAAGTACAAGTTATAAGAAATGGAAGTCATAGCCCTTCAGAAATATTTGAAGAGGTTTTGAAGTGCAACAGTATATGTTATGTGAATGAATTTCCAGCAAACATTGCAGACTACAGGAACCATTTGCATGTCAGTTTGAGATGCAGATGACACAGACTCATCCCCAACAGCCTGTGCCTGTCTTCAGCAGTGAAGCGACACAGGGCAGAAAACATCCTGCAGCCAAGAAGGCTCCACACACATTTGCATTACTTAGGTGACCCTGTGGACACAGGTAAACCTTCAATTGGCCTCAACGACTCTCTAAAAGCATGCAAATGCCAGCTGTCTGCAAGGAGTATAAATCCTTCCATTCCCCCACCATCCAGTCAGAACTGAAGAAGCTTCTTGAATGAGAAGCAAAATGTCTCGTGAGAAAGCATCCTTGGGACACATTCAGTCATTTCCTGAATGATACTGACTGCATTACATAAAAAGAAAAAAGCCCAGTCAGCGTTTACCTTCCAAGTTAGCTTTAAGGCCAGAAGGATCTTCAAAATTGCAGCTTTTCAGCGATGCTCCCTCTGCGTTTGAGCACAGCATCTTTACACCTTGGAGATTGGCATACTGCCAAAGAAAGAGGAAAGCAAAAATCTCAGATGAAAAGGAAGCCACATTTCAATCTGATAATAGAAATCTGCAGGCTACATTTGACAAATGGCGGACTGATCCCATTTGCTTAAAATACTCCAACGAACAAAATTCCACTGCCTTTGTTAGCCAAATCTGCAGGTGACAAATCACAGTGCTTTACCTAACACTCTGAAAACTTTAGCTCTTGCTTCATTTCATGGTTAATAATCCCTTTCATCTTTTCAGGTCCATCCTGCCAAATCCATCTCTCTTGTTTCTTGGTATTTCTTTGCAAATAAATCCAAATTAGTAGAGAGACATGGGACATTTGCAGAGCTAGAAGCTGCCACCAGGTGGATAACTAGACATTTTAGCTTAGCATTGTTCACACTGATGGGTTTTGCTATGATTAACAAGGGTCTTTAGTAGCATATCTTAAGAGACTGTGGTTTATTTCTAGGCCATGCATGCTCCAAAGTGCAGCTATTTTGCAGTTCCCCTATGGAACAGAACAATCCATTTTGCCTAAGCTTGTGCAAGAGGTGTGCATTTTATTCTTAGTCCTTATCCAAATAACACCCACATCTAGAACAGATCCGGAGAGATCAGCCCGTTCAAGGTTTGCGCAGCAGAGGTTTGCATGGGCCAGGTTGCATCGGCTCAAGTTGGCCATCTTGAAGTTGATGTACCGGAGATCTAAACGAGAGAGGTCAGCACCGCTAAAATTTAACCCCTGGAGGAGAAGAGAACAGCGGTCAGGTTATATAGTCCATAAAGAATCTGAGCTCAAAACAACCGTTTCAACTCTGTCATGGTTACATCAAGCTCAAAACAACCCATCTGAAAGTAAAGCTTTTGGGGGGGAGGTCACCCCTGTTATCTACATTTTGCATCAGCTGTGCAAAATCCAGCTCAAAAATCCAAACGCAACTGCTTGGAAGACAAAGTGTCTAACCTAACTCAGAGGAGGAATACACTCAACATTTATGTTGTTTATTCATTTATTTGTTCAATTTCTAGAGCCGCCCATCTCAGTGAGTGACTCTGGGCTGTTTACAATTCAGAACATATGTTACAGTTAAAAATATATAAAAAAAACAATTTTAAAACAATAAAAACAATAAACAATAGTAAAAAAAAAATTTAAAACGTCCGATTCAAGATACACAAGAAAATGTGATCCAGGTTCCTGTAAAGCATGGTTGTCCAACCTTGTTTTCTCTGGGTTGGGCCACATATAAAATATATACTGTAGTATAGTTAATGCATATAAATAGCAAACGTCCTTAATTTTTCAATATTTTTTATTATCTTGTGGGGCCTCGTTATTAGCTATCCAGGGCTGCAGTCTGCCTGTGGTGATTTTTAACATATCGGTGTAAACTTTTCTCTTTACAAGTTGTGCAAAACAGGTCCAAAAAAACATCCTTATTTTTTTTTTAATTTCATTTTCTCATGGTACCTGACAGCGTAGCTCCGACTTGGTTGAGGTTGCAAGGAGGAATCTAACAAATTCCTTTCGAGAAATCGGAGAGTGGTCTTCTGCAGGCTGAGAATTCTGTCAAAAAAAAGGGAAGAAGAGTTTAGGCCCAAACAATACAAGATGGAATAGCTTTTAAAGAAAAGTGTCATGGTTCCGAAAGAAGCAGGTTTTCAAAGAACTTTGAGGCTTTGTTTACCTTAAAGAATCCTTTTATTGCTACATAGCTTCGGCACGTACATAATGAAGCCAAAAACTGAATCCTCCCTCCCCCATTCACCCGTAACAAAGCATAACTCACTCTTTCATTTAACAGTCATCAATCACGTTCTCCAATTAGTTCGAAGTGCGAACTTTCCCTCCCGTAACTCCTCTAGTTACATCTGGCCTTGGAAATACTGTACTGAGATATGGTTGTGGCTATCTATTCCCCGATTACATACTTTCCCACCCGCTATTCTAACATTGTTTGACTTTAACTCTAGAAGTGATATACAGGCTAACTAAAACAGGTTTGCTTCTTCATTTATGTCAAGCAAGAACATCAACCGGGGTCCCCAACCCCCGGTCCATGGACCAGTACCGGGCCACGGCATGCCAGCAACCGGTCCGCACAAACAAGCAAAGCCCCATCCATGAGATGCAGGCAGCACACAAAACCACACCCGCTTCAGTCCACGGAAAAACCTCTCTCCACAAAACCTGGTGCCCAAAAGGTTGGGGGCCTCTGGACTAAAGACTCCAAGGTTCCTTCCAGCTCTATTCTGATTGCTTGATTGATTGCTTACATTCGGTGATATACAGCAGTGTGGGATTTTTGAGGCATTTTCAAGAAGGATATTTACAAGCTGTTGGGGATGTTGACATTGTAGGCTTGTTACATCTAATTCTGTCCCTTTCTTCTACACCACATTCAGAAATCATTGGTTTTTTTTTTTTGCTAATTTACATATTCTGGCTTCACTCTATGGTTGAGCCCATTAATGTTTATGTTTGAAGAACAAAGCAACATAAATTGTTGGCACGCTACGTTACGGTGGTGCAGCCATTTGAGCGTGCTCGTCGTGATATCTAAGAAAATTAAGTTGCTATCCTTAAGCCATATATCATACGTGTGCATCTCTTTGAAACTTGACTAGCATCCACTCAGAATGTTGCCAATTCAACATTACTGGCTTTTGTTCACCTTTTCATACTTTTTTTTTAATTAAGGATTCTCACAAGATAAAAGATAATAACCACTTAGTATCAAAAAGAAAGAAAGAAAAATACAAAGTGCAAGATTTATTTCTCTCAAAAACTTCTTCAAAATGTTTTGTTTTTAAGAAATAGAAACATTTCCAGAGCGCAATATAACATAATAACCGAGATGTAACATGGAAACCAAAACAAGGGCAAATGATCAGAAAGTAATCAGGTACGAAAATTAGTATTACCTTAATTGCTAGTTCAAGGTGTTCTATCAGGGAGTCAATTCCAAAGAATCTTGCTTCCTCTGAAACACCTAGAGTAAGATGATCGACACAATACAAGCTAGCAATGGTTAGGAATAATGACAAGATTCACCACTCAACCTTCCTGCTCTCTAATCAGGCTGTAGGAACCATGCACAGGATCAGGCAGTTTCACTGGGCCAAGATTCTGGTCTTAATCATAATTAATGTTAGATGTCAATCATGATTTACTACTTAAGATCAACAATGGTCTGAAGATGAATTGTAAGCCAGCTTCATACAACATGCTGTTTTATTGCATGCCAGCTTAGCATCAACATGTTAACAACAAAATCTTATCTGTTAATCTTAATCTTAAATCCCTTTTCCAGATCTATTCGATTAAAAATTCCACAACCTCTACTTAGCCATGCGTTGATTGACTGATTAGTCCTACCTTTCCTCTAAAGCAGTGGTCCTCAACCTTTTTTTGACCATGGACCCCCTTTAAATACTTTTTGTGGTCACGGACCATGGCCACGGACCCCCAAGACTTAACTCAAGATTTAAATTATAACAGTTCTTCAAGCCTTCGCAGACCCCCCTGTGATGACATCACAACCCCCACAGATTGAGAGCCACTGCTCTAAAGAGCTCAAAAGGCTGTTTCCTTAATTCTTGTTCCTCCAATTTTCTCCCACAACTCTATCAGATAGTTTGGGCTAAGAAAGAATGACTGCCCCAAATCATCCAGTGACTTGAACGAGTGTAGTGTTAGTTGGTTATGGTGTTGGACTCGGTCTGGAAAAACTCAAGATCGTACCAAAATGCCAAAAGCTTGCATGGGATTTCCACATCCTTGGTTCTATTCAGGAAGCTTGGCTTTAGACTTGTTTTAGAACAAGCACACTTGCAACAAAGGCAACAAAATGTTTTATAGGTCCTAGTACATACCTAGCAAGTTAATGCCATCGTTCACAATTAGCTGTCCATGCCGCAAATAGTTTAAGATCGGTTCAAAGTACTCCGGACTTCGGTCAATCAGGAAAGCTCCACTGTGATCTCTCTTGTTTCCCCAAGCATCTGTTGCAGATGGACACATTTTTTTAAAAAAAAAAATTGCTTTCATAAAGGGTCAATTTCTCACCCTCCCCATCTCCATCCCTCCCCAGCAGCTTAGATGGATCAACTGCAGGCAAGTTTGGAAATCAGACTTAAGTGCCTCTCGTTGCCCACCACAAATTTAGAATGAGACTATAGTAAATAAGGAGGAAAGGACATCCTCTAAACCATAAATATAAGTTCCACTGGCTTCACAGGTGGTTCTGTTGGGCAGGGCAAGAACTATATTTACATTCTAAAAGCGGACAGAACCAGGATAATGGGATGGTGCTCACGGTTTTAAGAGGTGAACTTAATACTCCTTCAATTCCATGCGATGGCGCAACATTTTTGACCCCTGTATGATCTAGGGAAGAGCCCCAAACCAGTTTACATGTGGTATGTAAAGGTATTAATAACTAGGTTCTTTTTTTGTGGTAGGCTTTGGTTTTGTAGGCTGAACATCATTGCTCCCTCCTGACTTAAATGAACTGAAATAAGCTATGATGACATTCCTGCTAAACTGTTCCTTTCTTCTCTAAGCACCTTTGGACATGCTCCTCTAAGCAAGGAGTTTAGCTAGACAATGCTGCAAGTTCAAACTCCCATCTTTGTTTACAGACAAGAACCTAAATGGTGCCACTGTGGTATGTGTAGTTTCTCAGAATCATCTTACATCAAGCCTTACTTTGCAGTAAAGAAGAGTTTACAGGCCGTGGATTTGCAAATTGAGTACTGGATAAAATACTGGAGAGACCTTTCACATATGTAACTTAAGTCATACTGACCTTTATCTTTAAACATGTGGGCCAGCATGCTATCCGGTTCTTTACTAACTAAAGTGCTCCTAAGAAAGAAATGTAGAGAAATTAATGAATAAATTGGCCACACTGGCATTTGAAGTAGCATTCAAGTGGGGATTTTTTAAAAAAGTGGCTTTTATGTGATAAGCAATTTGGGTCCCAATGTGGCTCCACACCAGACTGACAAATGTTGGTTGAACCTTTAATTTAATACAGGTTTAATTTAACAAAGGTTTAATGTTAATCTTTAATTTGTGGAATTGCTTAATTTTTGTGGGGGGGGGAAGGAACTAAGAAAAGCCAAAGTAACATCATATTAAACCAGCATTTTAAATCATGGATGGTTGAAAAACCATTTGGTCTGGGTTGTACATAATAATAACCAACAATTGCCTTCACATAGCATGCTACACAAACAGCCCTACAGTTTAGCCTGAATCCAACCACTGCATTCAAAAGTTGTTGACAGCTTTATTAATGAACAATGCATTTAATACTTAGGAACATAATATTTCCAACGATAAACTTTTTCACAAGAAGAAAACAGACTCTTACCGGGTAGTTGTGAAATACCGTCCTCCTACATTGAGTGTGATCCAATCCGAATGGGATCCTGTTAATGTTTCTAAAGAGTTGATATCATTCTGGGGATCTAGGAACGTGGAAAGCATATCATCATACAGTAACCACTTCAGACTTCCTGTTCTTCAGGAAGAAAACAACTTGGTGTACTTACCAATGAATGGTTCGCCTTCACATACAAAAAGAACATCATCGTCTCTATTGATTAAAGGAAAAGAGAAAAGAAAACCAGGGATTCAGAATAAACCTGACAAATGTTTTGGAAAACAATAGTTGTTCATTCCAGATTCCAAGGTTTTAGAGAGACTAAAATCGATCTTACTGCATTATAATAGCTTAAGTGACGAAGATCTAAATAACAATTCAACTATGTTAAGTGGCTTCATACGAAGGAGTTTGAGCTAGTCCTTTTACGCAATAGTTGTTTATGGATAGTCTGTATATCAGACTTGCTCTGAAATGCAATGTTTGAGCAAGAACAGTTTTTTAAAAAATGTGAAATCACTAAGATTGTTTTCTCTTTCAAAACAGGAAATGAGCGTCACAATCTAAAACCAGAGTCTGATTTTTATTTTCTTACACTCCACTGCTTCAATGTCAGGAAATATGTACTCTGTGTGTGTGTGTGTGTGTGTGTGTGTGTGTATATATATATATATATATATATATATATATATATATATATATATATATATATATATATATATATATATATATATATATATATATATATATATATATATATATATATATATATATATATATATATATATATATATATATATATATATATATATATATATATATATATATNTTCAAGTGGGGATTTTTTAAAAAAGTGGCTTTTATGTGATAAGCAATTTGGGTCCCAATGTGGCTCCACACCAGACTGACAAATGTTGGTTGAACCTTTAATTTAATACAGGTTTAATTTAACAAAGGTTTAATGTTAATCTTTAATTTGTGGAATTGCTTAATTTTTGTGGGGGGGGGAAGGAACTAAGAAAAGCCAAGGTAACATCATATTAAACCAGCATTTTAAATCATGGATGGTTGAAAAACCATTTGGTCTGGGTTGTACATAATAATAACCAACAATTGCCTTCACATAGCATGCTACACAAACAGCCCTACAGTTTAGCCTGAATCCAACCACTGCATTCAAAAGTTGTTGACAGCTTTATTAATGAACAATGCATTTAATACTTAGGAACATAATATTTCCAACGATAAACTTTTTCACAAGAAGAAAACAGACTCTTACCGGGTAGTTGTGAAATACCGTCCTCCTACATTGAGTGTGATCCAATCCGAATGGGATCCTGTTAATGTTTCTAAAGAGTTGATATCATTCTGGGGATCTAGGAACGTGGAAATCATATCATCATACAGTAACCACTTCAGACTTCCTGTTCTTCAGGAAGAAAACAACTTGGTGTACTTACCAATGAATGGTTCGCCTTCACATACAAAAAGAACATCATCGTCTCTATTGATTAAAGGAAAAGAGAAAAAAAACCAGGGATTCAGAATAAGCCTGACAAATGTTTTGGAAAACAGTAGTTGTTCATTCCAGATTCCAAGGTTTTAGAGAGACTAAAATCGATCTTACAGCATTATAATAGCTTAAGTGACGAAGATCTAAATAACAATTCAACTATGTTAAGTGGCTTCATACGAAAAAGTTTGAGCTAGTCCTTTTACGCAATAGTTGTTTATGGATAGTCTGTATATCAGACTTGCTCTGAAATGCAGTGTTTGAGCAAGAACAGTTTAAAAAAAAAATGTGAAATCACTAAGATTGTTTTCTCTTTTCAAAACAGGAAATGAGCGTCACAATCTAAAACCAGAGTCTGATTTTTATTTTCTTACACTCCACTGCTTCAATGTCAGGAAATATGTATATATATATATCTATTGATAAATTAACAAACTCTCCATGCTCTAAATTCAATTGCTTTTGCAGATGGTTTTGATCCAAATTCCTTAAATGCAATGACATTTGTGTTTGGGAAAGTTGGAAAATTAAGAGTCAAGCTGAAGAGTTAAGATTCATATTTATGCAAAGATACTCTGGTAAAGAGGCATTGTTTACCGCATACTTCCCAACAAATTCAATAAGCATAGGATACTTGGAACAAACAATGTTAGTAGAAATTATTTGTTAGAAGGCAAACTATAGGATGGGGGTAGCAATTCTCTAGCCAGGGAAGATGGAATGCAAACCTATTTGTAACCATTACATAATGGAATCCACATAAAATCCTGTCCCAGTTGAGAAGCTATATAAATCTTATAATTTGACTCTGAAGCTCAGGGTTTTCCTTCCTCTGCTTTTTCATTTATTGTAATCAGAGTGTGCAACAAGGATAAATGCTTGATACCCTCCAGATGCTTTGGACTACAGCTCTCACCATGTCCAACCAGCATGAAAATTATATTTCTGGACATCTGGAAGACATCAGGTTGCCTACTCCTAGTTCACAATAATTTTGAATTCTTCACTGACTTTTTAGCTAAGTCATTTCCAAATCAGAATCAAATTGTGGTTTGAATGGTGATGGGATTATGATTTACAGAGTGGGCTTTTCCAGATGTCAGAGTAGACCCATGCTTTGTGCTAAGCCACAGTTGTGGATTATTTAGATTTGGCCTTGGGCATGGCATTCAGTCAAGCCAGGACACCTTGGCAACCACATTATATTGCTGAATATTGTGTGTGAAACGAGACACCTTGATGTGCTCAATAAACTGTTATTTAAACCAGGGGTGGGCAACATTTTGGTTGCCAAAGGCAAAACTTAACATTTTTCAGGATGGAGGGAGGTCTATCACATAAGCAAGAAGGGATGGGGGGGGGGAGAAGAGTGGAAATGGAAGAATACAGAATAAGTTGGAAGGGACCTTAAGAGATGTTCTAGTCCAACCCCGATCAGACAGAAGGTCCTATACCACCAGGGTCTTATTGAAAACCTCCAGTGATGGAACACCCACAACTTCTGAAGGCAAGTTGTTCCATGAATAACCATTCTGATTGTCAGGAAATTTCTCCTTAGTTCTAGGTTGCTTCTCTCTTTGATAGTCTTCCATCTGTTGCAGAAGAAGATGGAGCTATAATATATTCTCCGTAGACTAATCCCAGTTGGTGGCTTTGTAGGAACGGGGTTCATGGCCATTTCAATATCAACACATTGTACTCTATCTAATGCGGTATTCCTGAATCAGCTTCTATTCCATCTTCCAAGCAGTTCTCACGCCTATTAGGCTTATTCGAAAGGGCTCTAATGAAATGGGCTAATCTTACCTAATTAAGGCAATGTCATCAATGAGTCCACCTCTTCCATTGTAGACGCTGGTTGCTTTTATTCCAAGCTTATTACTTGCGACAGAAAGCAAATCGGACAGTGTTCCATAAACAGCCACAACCTATAAGAGAAAGTTAGTCTTTTAATCCAATACACAGAGTTAGCTGCTCTGGAATTTTCATCCATTTACATTGTATACTTGTACACAAATCCACGCGCTGTGCAGCGCTCTTGATCTGCTTCAAATTTAGCCCAAGATAAATTGCACTAATTTTTTTGCAGAAGTCTTTCAATCTTAGAAAATCTGGGCTTCTTTCTCATTTCCAGTCTCCACAATGTAGATTGCAACAAGGAAATAGTTTTATCTACACTTGAAACTTAATATATGTAAGGTATTTTAGAGAACAGTCATGCTACCGGTACCTTTTCAATTAAATGGAGCCAATTTCTAGACTCGTATTGGATCCAAACAGCACAACTGCTGAATTAAGGGGGCGAGTATGTGCATCCTGCCATCACAATGTGGTTTATTTGTTTCAGTTTTCAGTAATAAACAATTGGTTGGGTTTGTGTAATAAACCATACAAGTAGTTCTTGTTTAGTGTTTACAAATGGAACTGGTAACTTGGTTATTTAAGCAAAGCAATCACGAAGTGAAATGCAATTCTGCTAAGATCTTATTTCGGCTTTCTCAGATCTGGAAAGGTTGTAAATGCAAGAATTGGTCATAAAGCTCCTTTTTCATCACTGTCATAACTTCAAATGGTCATTAAGTGAGGCAGTTACTAAACAAGACAGTCACTAAACAAGGACTGCCTTATTTCAATGTGGTTCATTTGGTTCTGACACAGCATAATCTGCAAACTGAGTAATTTATCTTTTTATGTAAATGTGCGTAGAACTGTACCTTTACAAACAGAATCTTAAGAGATTCATAAGTGGCGGAAATGTGACAGAGTATTATATATATATATCCAGAACTGATTGTATCTATTGACCATTTAAAAAGTAGAATATTGTACATTTTAAATACATTGTGAAGCCAATAAAAGCAACCGGTGGACGTATTTCCAAACTGGGAAGATTCTGAGTTACAAATTATTTCAGAACATTTCCATAATTAATTGAAGGAAACTGGGTCACTAGGCAATCGAAAGACAAAACGATTCCAAAACTGTTAATAGGGCACATCGATATTAGATGATGGGATGGTGGAGATTTAATCACCTAATGTAGAATTATCCAGCTTTATCATTGGAGATAATTTTCTCTTTCTTTTTTCCCCTTAAATGTTTATGGCTTCCAATATTTATGTTTACAACTTCAGCGTACTGCTAGAATGCAATGAAGTCTACCACGGCAGATGGATTGTTCCTGTTTTATTTTGTGAGTCTCTCAACCACAGATGGGAAACCACATCCTGTGGGTTGTCATTTGTTTTGCATTCCCAACAAGGTAAAGCACAGATTCGTATGTCAAAAGGCCATCATTTTAAAAAGCCAGTCACTTCATAAACCCAAAGCAACAGGGTTCCACAGGTGCTGGCTGATCTGATGCACAAATTTTAAAAAATAAAATAAAATTGCCAGTCCTCCGTTGTTTATAATCCAGAGTTTCCATACCTGTTCCCAATCATGGTCCTGCCACCTGTTGTTAAGAGTGAGCAGAAACAGCAGTAAGGGAAAAACTTTTGATCGGTCCAAACGTCATCCCAGCGTTTCCTAGCCAGCCCTCCTGGGTCCGCACTCCATCAAAATGAGCAAATGTCAACCGAGAGGAATATCTGGGAAATTTCAAGTGGCAAAGTTCTCCAGAAGTTCCTCGGCTGTCCTAAAAATCGATCATAGCTCAAGCTGTACATTATGTCAACGACAAAAAGGACGCTGTTTCTTTTTTACTTGGCGTATACATTTTCCAAAAGATTTCCACTCTTGGCCAAACATATTTGAATTGAAATATTTCTTGAGAAAAGGCGGACTACGAGTAACTTAAAACCACCACCCCAAAGCTTTTTAAAATAATAACAACAATACTTTTATGGAATATTTTATGTAACGAACGTCAACTACTAAACTTTTTTTTAAAAAAAAACCGATAAAAAGTGTTATATTTTAAGACAGTCCAGTTTAATGTTTTCACACAATATCCTAATCCGCACGAGGCACTAAACACGAGCAATGCTAACTACTGGTTTATTGAACGACCACTGTCAACTTCCACAACCAGCAAAACCAACTTCTGTGTTGCAAAATACCGGAAGTTCTCAATTTATGGCCAGAATTAGGACCAGAATTTCCAAAAGCCATCGTTAAATGAGTCACCCCCAATTTTACAACTTTTTGCCATAGTTGTTAAGCAAATCACTGCAATTTTTTTAAGTGAAATATCTGGTCCATTAAGCAAATCCCACTTCTTCCATTCGCTTTGCCTGTCAGAAGCCATCCGGGACGGTCACAAATGGCGATCATATAACCCTGAGATGCTGCAATTGTTGTAAACACAGGTAGTCCTTGACTTACAACAGTTCATTTAGAGACTGTTCAAAGTTACAACGGCACTGAAAAAAAAGTGATTTAGGAGCGTTTTACAACTGTTGCAGCATCCCCACGGTCACACGATCAAAATTTGGGTGCTGGTTCATATTTATGACGGTATCCCAGGGACTAGTGACCTTCCTTTGCAACCTTCTGACATGCAAAATCAATGGGGAAGCCAGATTCACTTAACAAACTGTGTTACTTAATCACTACAATAATCCGCTTAATACCTGTAGCAAGAAAGATGATAAAATACTGTAGGGCAAAACTCACTTCACAAATGTCTCACTTAGTGAGATGAATGTTGGTGTCCTAATTTTGAACGGTCATTAAAAAATGATTCAAAGTCAAGGACTTCCTGTATGATGGTGGTTACAAACCAGGATATTGCAAGGAAGCCAGTTTAGGGGAATTTTTTCCCCCTAAATCTTGGTTTAGCTTTCACAGGCTCTCTTTACACACTTTTGCTAGAGCCATAAGCAGGAAGACAGAAGCTGCTGTGACTGTTTTGGATGAATCACAGCTTAGAGTCACATTCAAACCCTAAACTCTGGTTCGTTTATTATACTATGAATCACAAGAGAGTGAGTGGAGGAAATGAAATTTAGACAACCGGCAGCTGTTTGCAAATAATTAGTCCTTGATGCACAATATCAGAAAAAGAATTTGTGGGAAAGAACACCGTAACACCAAAACATTGGAAACAACAAAGACAAACTCTGTTTTGTGCTCAGATATTAACCCCTCCATACAATTTTGCTTTTCTCCTTCCTGCTTGTTGAGTTATTATTAGATTATGACAGCACAGAAGTAAATCTTATGGATTATTTATACTCCAGTGGCTACTCAAAGAGTTTCCAGGACAGATTCTTGTACACTGTACTGACTTGTAATACGGTTTGATTGTATGTGATGTGTGATCCCAATCATTATGGTTTGTTAATCAGGGAGATATGATTTAGCGTCTTGGGTAAATCCAACCATGGTGTTATCTAACAAATTGAATCCAAAAGAATACCGGTATCTGGCACAGTAAGGCAGAAAATCCTTGTTGGGATCAAGATGATCACAATTTGTTGCAATTATAATGTACTGGACAAGCCACAACATTAATACACAATGCTAACCATAGAAAAAGAAGAAGAAGAAAAGATAATGCAGGCAAGCAAATAGTTGATTGAACAAGTCTCCAGACTATTTCAAGTATGACAAAATATAATGGCACAGTTCACACATCTGCTAAGCCAAAATCTAACCACAAGCTTTCCTATGATGCGTGAACCCAATCATACTCAAGGGATCTGATAGCATAATTGCTATTAGAATAAAGCTACAACATATTCCATGTATGTCCAAGCGGCACATTGGTAAACAAACACAATAGCAATCTTTATTAGTCATGGACCAGTACCACAAACAAAAGCATTAAAAACAATAACAACAAGGAAAAAACAAAAAGATATGAACACAAAATATTGCAAAATGTTGTAGCTATTTTGGAAAAATGCCTGTTTGGGTATGCCCTGGTCCTTTGGAATTTTCCGCTGAAACTGGGAAGATGAGGCAAAACATTACACTACTGATTGAATATAGAACTGCATTCTTCTCCTTAAAAAAAATGTGCGGAAGAAGAAGAAATATTTTGGGAGGAAGCCTAGCTCCATTTTATCAAAACAAATCTACCCAGGTTATTTGTACAGCTGGGTGCTGACACAGATCTTTTAAAGACTAAATCCTGACAAAACAGCATGTCTCCAAATAAACTTATAAGAGTACGGCATTCATTAATTTATGCCTGTCCCCTTGGCCCAGGAAAAAGTGATGCAAAGCTTGCATTTTCATTAACTTGAAAGGGACTTTTTACTGGCACACAATCAGCCAAGTCACCGGTTAATTTCAGACACAGCTCTAAGACATAGCAGGCTAATCTGGAATTTGCTATTAAGAAATTGTCCTAAATAAAAGAACCGACACCTTAGACCTAGTTGTTCCTCATCCTACTGTAATTACTCTTATCTCTTTCCCCTAAATCATGATCCTGTATTATTATTATTATTATGACTCTGTAATCCATTGTATCGTGGTGGAGACAGGGCAACTGAATGGAGCTGAGTGTTTACTAACCGGATACCTTTCCTGATGCCTGCACAGAGTTCACAACAGGTATTTTCTCTTTGTGCCCTGATAAACATCTGTCACTAAACAGGATTGAACTCTCAATCTCTTGAGTATGAGGTGAGCGTCTGCAACTCTAGGCCAGTGAACAGCTCATGATCCTATATTAATTAAACCTATGATAATTCGATGCAGTCTTTATATTCTGTATATTTAATCCAGCAGTGCTTCAGGAATGAGGGTAGGCAAACAAGCATGCTGCATGAGGGTTCAACTCTGGTTAAGGGTGCAAGCCATTCCTAACTAGGAGAATTAGAAGACATAATGGTTGTGTCTGCATAATACATTATGCTTAGTTGGAATTTCTGTGGCTCTATGATTTGCATGCACCAGTCCACTTAATTTATGCATTGTGAAAATGCAGAAAAAAATCATTAATTCATTAACAGGTTAAGAGTGTTGTGTGCACACAAACTCTTTTTCTTTTGCAATAATTGGTACTAAATTTCTGAGTGCCCACTTGGTGGAAGGGAAAAATTGAAATTAAATTGTTAACAATCTGCATCAGTTAATAGCACCTTTGGGGAAGATAGTTGGCACTATTGTACATCACAGTTCTGATGATTTGCGTTTTTATCAAAGCGATCATTTATTTTATGGATTTCATGTACTACAGTACTGTGCATCAAAAAAAGCTTGAAATACTTATTTTTACTCTGAAGGCCATCACCGAGCAAAATACAATGCAATCACCAGAAAACCTGGATAAGTATTAATGACTTAAATTGTGGGCTAAACATCAAATTGCTATGAAGCCTACTAAGAAGACCACACATATCTGGTCTGAAAAAGTGAAGATAGGCATTAAATGGCTGTAAAGAGTTTTGCCTTCCCTCTAGTTGTCCTCCAGATTTTTGCAGGTCAGATACAATAGCCCCTATATAGGCAATGACTCTATTTCCATATTCTCATGTGCTCCAGCTGTGTCGAACAATACATTTCATCACCCTGCATAGGAAATCCAGGGAGTTTCAAGTCTTACCAAATTAGGTGGCTGCCCTCAACTGACTAATCCTGAATTCCAAACAGGATGAGAGCTGGTAAATCCTTGGGGGATAGGAGACCACCAGGAAATCCTAGGGCTGTAGCCAAGATCAGAACGTTTAAAAAAAAACAAAAAAAAAAAAGGGAAGCCAGTCACCTCCACCTCCAAGAAACTACATCAATTTCTCTGCGGAAAGACTTTCTCATCCCCTTTCTGGGAAGGTGGCCAGCTCAGAGAAGGGTGGGGTGGAATTCCAGGCAACCCTGGAGGAAGTAGCTCAATGATTCTGGGGAAGGAGAATCCCAAGGAAATTAAAATTCACATTTGGGGTTGGTTGTAGCCCTTTTGTATCAGCTCGGTTCTGGAAAGGCGCTACTCCAAGGAGCATCTAATGCTTGGCCCCTTTGAAGACTTGTGGACTTCAACTCCCAGAATTCCCCAGCCAGCTATTGCTGGCTGGGGGATTCTGGGAGTTGAAGTCCACAAGTCTTCAAAGGGGCCAAGCTTGGACACCCTTGCACTACTCCATCCCTCTCATCAAATCCAGTGGTAATTGCTCCCATGGAAGCTGGCCCGGGATTCCCAGGGCAAAACTGGCAAATCTGCAGCTCCAGCCCGGCTGTTCCCTGTGGGAGACTGCAGGCTCCCCGGGAGCAGAGACCTCGTGGTGTCCCTGATGCAGATCCAGAATCAAGAGGGAGGCCAGTCCTGCTGCAAAGCCACGCCAAAGCGTCTTTTTCCCCCGCTTACCTTCCCATTTCTGGGGCTGCCATTAACAAACAAGGTGACTCTCTTCATGTCCTCCTTCCGGAGTCGCCTGACCCAGCCTGGCTACAAACCCGGAAGAGTGGCTTCCTTAACCAACAGGCCCACCCACCAATCCTCCCCCTGCTCGTTTTCCCTTTGCCCAATCGGATTCGAAAGGAACGAAGTGGGCGGGACTTTTAGGCTGGGTGGGCGTCTTATCCGCGCGATTTGCTTTTCAGAAACAGAAAGGGCGGGGCTTTGAGGAGAAGGGCGGGGCAGACGAGCGGGCGGGGCAGAGTCGCCTCTTTCTCCCCCCACCCTCCGCTCCGAAAGGCGAGCCTCGCTCCTCATTGGCCACGTCGGTATCACGTGAAGCCTCAACCGTCCTTTCCTCGTTCTGAAGGAACAACCCTTCCGCAGGGCCGGGATTTCTTCCAAGGGGAGGGAGAGGGAGGAAAAAAATAGTCCGCTACTGTCCTCCTGATTTGTCTCCTTCAGCAGGGGAGGGGAGGGGAGGCAACCCCAATGGGTTACGTATTTGAGGCCGCTTGACCGGATCGGACTCCGCTGAGTGGAAAGAAGGAGCCGCCTGGTGTGGCGGAGGGATACATGGCTCTGGCAGGTGGTGAGAAAATATTTTGAATGAAGGGCGCGAGAGGAGGCCCGTCGATGGCAGTTCGTCAGCGCCGAAGTCGGGCTGCGAACCCAAGGCGCATCCTTTGGCATCCTTACGGTAAGCCCAACAGCGGCCCTGAAACCTTCGAAGGTTTAAAATTTAATTTATGGTAACGTAGAAATTCAATAAGCGAAGCTCTAGAGCAGGGATCTTCAAACCTGGCCATTTTTCTGACTTGTGGACTTCAACTCCCAGAATTCCTCAGCCAGGCACGCTGGCTGAGGAATTCTGGGAGTTGAAGTCCACCTGTCTTCAAGCTGCCAAGGTTGAGAAACTCTGTATCTAGTCTAGGGGGTCTTCAAACCTGGCCCTTTTCTGACTTGTGGACTTCAACTCCCAGAATTCCTCAGCCAGGCACGCTGGCTGAGGAATTCTGGGAGTTGAAGTCCACAAGTCATAAAAGGGCCAAATTGGAAGACCCCTGCTCTAGACTTGTGTGTTTCAAGCTTGGCTACTTTAAGATGGATGGACTTCAACTCCTAGAATTGAAGTCCACCCATAAGTCTAGGCATTCCTTGCATATGCCAGACAATCCTTAAGGAGGAAAAAGCAAAGCACCTTGGGAATGCATGTTTCCCAGTGGTGTGCAGATGTGCAAGAGGGAGTGTGGCCGATGCAGAAATTCAGACACACTCTTGGTGGCAAAGGTCTGGGGTAGAGTGGTCAATTCATTTTCCCAGGGAACCACATGAGAAACTGGGACTTGTCCCACAGGACTGTGAAGGTGCGTAGGCATGCATGCATATCCATAAACTTGAAAAAAGTCACTTGCAAAATAAAAGCAATGCAACTGTACTGCATGCATGACAGTTGCACTTGTTTACATTTGATTTCTAATTTCCAAATGACTTCACATGGGCCAGACCGGGACAACCAAAGGGCTGAGTGTGGTTTTGGGGGCTGTAAAATGTCTAGGTCTGGTTTGGGAGACAGGAGGAATTGCTGCGGACTAGACAATCATGCAAAAGAGATCTCAGCCCATATAAGGAAGGAGGGCATTGGAAACTTTGACCCACCCCGGGGAGGTTTTCTGGAGAGTAAAAGGAAAGGATGGGGAATTGTGCTTGTTCTATGCCTTGTTGAATTTTGACTTCCTAAGCTTAAGAAGCTTGAAGACTATTAAACATGGAGCAGGCCATGTGCTGTATAGGTAACCAGGCAAAGGACTAGTTATCTGCCTCGTCTAACATTATCCTTTTCTTTCAAAAGAAAGATATCCAGACTTCTGTGGTACAATATTGCTTAAAAGACCTAACTATTTCTCAAGAAAGCAGCAATATCACTGATGAGTTGGCAGCAGCAAAGGCATTCCCAATGGAGAATCAGAATACTAAAAAGGTACTTTCCGAGTGCTGTAATACACAACACAACTTATATTTGAGGCGTAGAAACTCAATCAATAGCATGAAGAAGATGGATTCTCTCTTCACAAGTGGTTCATCAGATGCTCCAGCAGCAAATGTGTGTACAAGCGCTGTCGTCTCCGAGAGTTTGGGAAGCACTCTGATAAACAATCACCCTAACGTCGTGAATGATAGAGATGATTTAACAACTCCCAGGAGAAAATCAGAAGAGAATACAAATGTTGAAATCGCAAACAACCCAGTTACACCATCTAGAGGCTTTCCTGACAGTACTGCAGTTGATTGTAGAATTACGCCAGATTATTTTACAAGCCAGAATAAAGGTAAGGATTATGGCCATCAGGGATGGTTTGGAAAATAACATCAAGCAGCTGGCATTCTGAAGAATAGTATGTTCATAACTTACCTCTGCCATGCAACAGAATTAGGATTCCAATAGAAGAGACAAATTGGGGTCCTTCATGCTCTCTGAGCTCGGTTATTTGCTTGTAGATGTTTTATTACCCAATTAGGTAATGTCCTCAGTGTGAATGAGTGTGGGCTTTGCTGCCTTTATATATTCAATAGCTTGCTCTGCCAATGAGGATGCAGTTTCTTTCTTCATAGTTCCTTGATTAGAGGACTGTTTTCTGCTTGATTGTCTGGTGCTGATCCCTAATCAGATTCTTATCTGAATGTAGGCTGCTGAAGGGGATGTTGTCTAGGTTTTTTTTTTGTTTCGTTCCTAGGTATTTTAACTCCCTTTTGAATGGTGTGTGAATATGGCATATCTCTATGTGTCTACTGTTTTGATGATTTGTCTGTATACCAAGCTTCCACTAATTGTCTAGATCAGTGGTTCTCAACCTTTTTAATGCCGCGCCCCCAACCGGTCGTAAGTCGAGGACTAAACCGATCATAAGTCGAGGACTTTCCCTGCCCGGGAGCGCCGCACATGCATGGTTCCGCCCCCTGCGCCGGCCGAGGCGTAGCTGGCAAGTGGCAGAGACGGAGCAGGCCGACCACCAGCTGGCCCAGCTCAAGGGAGGTAAGGCACCCGCCGGAAAAGGGGGAAAAAAATGGCGGACAGCCTTGCTTGGCGACCCCCGTGAAATGGTCGATGGAGCCCAAATGGGGTCGCGACCCATAGGTTGAGAACCACTGGTCTAGATTCTTGCAGTTTGGCTTGATTTAAGATTTGGCTTGGTCTAAGATGCTCATAGTTGCCCAGTTGGAATTGTGACTGAGTCTGTCCAGAGTTAATCTTAATCTCCTTAACCTCACTGGCAGGGCAAGCTATTGAAACGCCTCCAAACAAACGCCTAAATTCAGAGAGTACCAAGACCTCCACAACGTAAGGATTGACTGAAGTAGGAAAAGTAGTAAGAATGTTGTTGTTGTTGTGGCTATTTTAACTCTGACCATCCCCAAATGAAGCAGAATACTAAAGGTCTTCCCTCAATAAAAGTGGGTTTTCAAATGGCTTTTTCTGTTTTATCTTAATTGGGTGTTTCTTATCGCCCGTCTTTATTTTAGAAGAATTCAAAAACATATTGAAAAAATTAAGACGACGGTCTACAATTGGAGCACGAGGTTCTCCAGAAAACGATTCTCTCATCCGATATATTGCTCGGCAAAGGAGAATGAAGGTGCAAGAAACTTTGTCACAGGTGAGTGTGATGGAACTCAGAATAGGAACATTACACTTTTTTTTTTTTTTTTGGCAGAATGCAAAAAAATGTTTCAGGTCAAAATGATTAATATCTGGGATGCAAAACTCCAGATGACTGCTAGATAGGAAAGGAAATAGATTTTTGTAGCCCAGATCAGGTAACTCTATCCACGTTGGACTGAGTCACTTGGATGATAGAATCAGGTCCAGTTGGAGAAAAAAAATTAGTTTGGCTATTTAGACAAAACGTTTTGAAAGCCTGTGTTTTCAAAGAAGTATTGATTCGTGTCTGAATTCTAGCAAAGGCTAAAAGCTTTTCATGCTTTCAAAATTCAATTGCTGACTTTAACAGGGAGCTCTTTTGGAGTTTTGATTGAGGCAAATTCAGATTTTGGTGGATTACTAAACTTTTGGTTTACCACTGGGTGGCGATGGTGTATTTGCTTCCACGCAGGAGGTCTTCTACTCCCTTTTCCAAGTAGGTGTTGACAGGAGTTAATCCCTTGTTGCTCTGGAACTGAGAGGCATTTCAGAAGTCCTGGAGTATCTAACTGCATTTTATCCTTCCCTGGCTGGATTTTGGGTTTTGTAAAAAGCCATAACTTGCGTTGTTCAATTTTCTCTTAAAATAACATATGAATCTAACTCTAATGGTCTGTATATCATGGCTTATAATTTGATGTTGTAGATGAAGCCAGCAAAATGTAGACTGTCAACCAACAATTGTTTAAAATCTGTCTCCCATAAATAAATAAGTACATATATACATACATATGTGTGTGTGTATATCTGTATGTATATCTATATAATGGTCTATATCAGGGGTAGGCAACCTTGGCTCTTTTATGACTGGTGGACTTCAACTCCCAGAATTCCTGAGCCAGCATGGCTCAGCTTGGAAACCTCTCCCCTTTCCCCTCAGCACGGCTGGCTCAGGAATTCTGGGAGTTGAAGTCCACCAGTCATAAAAGAGCCAAGGTTGCCTACCCCTGTATTATGGCTTATAATTCAATGTTACTGGTCAGAAGTCTCCCAACCTTTCTGGCTTGGTGGACCGGCAGTGGCAGGGTGGGATGGGGAATGGGGATGCATGCACCACTGCTATCACAAGTGCAAGTGCTTTGCATGTGTGCGCTCACCCACCACTTCTGCGGCCCGGTTCCAAACGGGCTGTAGCCCATCACTGGGTCATGGACTGGGGGTTGGGGAGCCCTGTTGCAAATGAAGCCAGCAAAATGTAGCTCATTCAATCAACAATTGTTTAAAATCTATCATAAATACATACATACATACATGTATATGTATATAAAGTAGACTTTGAGTAAGTAATGTGACATACTGAAATAAAACTTAACTATTTGGATTGGTTGTATATAGTGCAAACC